TGAAGATCATTGGACAAAACCTGAGATACCAAAATATTTTCATCTGGCCTTCTGTGCAAAAACTTGCAGTTTCACTTGTATAAAATAAATAACAATCAAGTGGCTGGGGGAAAATGTTCCCTCTCTTGTTGTATACAGGTAGTCCTCAACTTATGACCACAATTGAGCCCTAGGACCAAGCAGGAAACTCACTCCTGCTGAGACTACAAACAGCCTTATTCTAATATGCTAGTAATCACTCTTTGTACTATCATGCTAGCCCGCTAATCAACCTAATCCTTTAAAACATACTTCATTCCGTTTCCAATCCACAGTATCTATTCTTTGTATACTCTCCCTGCACCCACCAGTCTCAGCATTGTGTGGCTACGGAGCATGCTCAGTCCTTATTGGGCTATTTCCAGCTCTTGTTCTTCATCAACAGTGGAATATCAGTTATTTGCCCCAGGTCACCTTTGGAACCTGAGGCCTTAGAGATCTGGCTACTTTGCCCATTGTCCCTCTGACTAAGTTTCATTCATACCATGGCCAGGTATACTTACTCATACAATGACTGTTGAGGGACAAAGACTTTCTTCTTCAGTAGCTGACCTTTCTCTCTGCAAAATAGGATTTCAAAGCAGGTAATATTTAATATATTTCTCAAAATCCTTCTCATCTCTGAGCAAGGGGGGGTAAAGGTAAAAGAGTCCCTGCAATTATTACTCCACTAGTCATTGCTGATTCATCTCCATTTCAAGGCCATTGAGCCAGTGTTGTCCAAAGACATTTGTGTAGTCATGTGGCCAGAATGACAGCTCGGAGGGCTGTTACCTTCCCAATGAAATGGTACCTATTTATCTACTCACATTTACATGCTTTCGAACTGCTAGGTTGGCAGGAGCTGGGGCAAGTAACAGGAGCTCATTCCCAGGTGTCAAACTCGCAACATCATGTGACATGTCACAACATATCACGACTTTTTTCCCATTTCCAGCAATGGGGTGGGCGCAGTCTCAGTATGACGCATTCGGCCCAAGGGTCTGCAGTTTGACTTCCCTGTTATAGGCCAATAAAATTTCTGGATGACTCTATTTTTCCCATGCCTGTTCTAAAATCAATTGCCAGGAATCTCTTCACCTGCTTTGCTTCTTTGCTGGGGTCACCCTCAAATGCCAGGGTATGGAATGAGCTGCTTCTTCCAAGGTCTTGTTCAAGAGATCACTCAGCTGATTGTGTACCTGTTCCAGGACATTCACCTTCATTACCTATCAACAAAACAGAGGGAATTTTATGATGCCCAGGTCTGTCAAAATAGATTCCTAGAATGTATTTAGGTGATGGGCACGTTGGTTGGCTTGGTATATCTGTATATCTCCCAGGGTTTTTTTCCCTTGTCCTTGTGGCTAAATTGGCATTATTTGGAATGTGTTGTATGACATTATTTCATACGCTCTCCTATTCCAGAGTGTCGAACACACTTACTGCTTCCAATGCTCTCTTCTTCCAATGCCTGATGTAAAGCCTTTCCCATGCTGCATTTAGACAACATTTTTCTCTCTATCATGAGTAAAACAGCATTGCTGCATTGCTGTTAGATAACATCCAGACTATGGAGAAGGGAGGGTTTGGCAGTGGCCTAGTAGAATTAGAGCTTTCCCCAAAGCTGGGCTGAAGTGGTCTCCTCCCACCCGAATAGCCGCCAAGGCAATGGGTGAGAAAGCCAAGGTGATTTTATACATCTTGAGGCATTAGCTTTAGGGAAAGCCCCATTTCTACGATGCCATTGCTAAACCCTCCCTATACACCCTGAACTATTCTTGGAGAAGGCTGCAAACTTTGAAAAACTAAGACCCAAGAGACCAACCAGCAGCTGTCTCTCAACTGAATTACTGCCTGTTCCTCTATGACAAGGATAGAGATCATGTGGCCCCGGAGACACAGAATCAGCCATTTTAATCATCCTTGACTATTCATCATTTAGGATGGAATATTTGTTTCTCCAGTGCTAGCATTGGCTTTTATTATTACCTATTATAATATCTATTATTACCTCCAGGTGTCTCTTCCATTGGCTGTGGGCAATGACATTCTCCAGGTGTTCATCCTCTCCTAGAGAATTAGAAACAGCTTCACTTTAAAAACATGATTTGACATTGGGCGAATGGAGGAGGTCAGTTCATTGTTTGGATTAGAAATCTTCTCATTGTAGAGAGATTTTTTTGTTTATAAATTACTACCTCCGAATTTCAACCACTTGTTTCCCCACTCTTCCCATTCTCTTTCCTTTGGGGTGGATAAAGCAGGTCCAAAACTATCTGTACCAGGCTTCTGAAATATTTTGTATGGCATGTTTTATTCAGTTTTGTAGCCTTTTCTTAAAGCAGATTTCCAGACTATAATAACATCTTTTAACCAGCAGATCTGGAAGGCTGTTTATCCTAGAATTCTATTTTGCTTAATTACCAAGTAAAACAGCCTATAACATTATCATATCATTCTAGTAGATGTGAAGGAAGGAATATTGCCAGTACCTCTGATAGATTTATTAGAGTTTAGTACAGGTAGTCTTCAACTTACAACCATTCATGTAGTGACTGTTTGAAGTTACTGAAGGACTGAAAAAAATGTGACCTTTGTCCGTTTTTCACACATACGATCATTGCAGCATCTCCATGGTCACAGGATTAAAATTTGGATGTTTAGCAACTGACATGACGATGTATCAGGGTTATGAGATCCTCTTTTTAAAATGGGGCAAAACTAACTTAACAACTGTTTTGCTTAGCAATGGAAAGTTTGGGTTCAATTGTGGTCATACTTTGAGGACTACCTGTATATAAACTAACATAAAAAGGCACTTGGAGCAAAAAGCTAACTTAAATCAAAGACCAATGATAGGAAACTGTATTTGCTGATTGGGCAATATCTTACCTGATTTCTCTCTAATGCAATATCAAGCATATAATCGTGTCATTTCTGAGTAACCTTTTTAGAAAGGAGCCAAGAAAATATACACCAATAAACAGGCTCTGAAAGCAGTTAAAAAGGAGTTGATGAAATTTTTCGAATATTTTCTTTGTAACCGGTTAACTAATTAAGATGTTTCTTGTTTCTTTTCAACTAAATGCTTGAATTGTTTTGTCTTTGAAGGCTGAACGTTAGCATTTCCGGACAAAAATTAATTTAAAGGCTCTTCATGCATAACTCTTGATCTTTTTTGTCATAATTTTCCATTTTATTTCTTTTTTTTAAAGAAAATGTTATTGATTTTCTAGTTTTACATTTAATATTTGAAAAGCAATGTGGTGGCTGAGTTGGTCAATAATTCAATAACATACAAATATCTTTAGTACAGATCTCAAACTATTACATTAAATGTTTCCTCTCTTTTCCCCTTGGTATTTACTGTCTCATATTTAAATTAATACAATTCTTATATCGATTAAATAAAAAAATAACTATCTTACATTTATCAATAATGTTTAGTTTATACATATCCTAGTTGTTTTAACATTCAATCTTTTTAGACAATCAATGTCCTGGTTAATTTTTCCCAATTTTTAGTTTTCTATTAATATTTAAATTTAACATTTAATATTTAGAATTTCCAAGTTTTAAATAGCCCCAATTCCCTTTATCACAATTCATCACAAAATCTAATGCTCAGGATACACATCTTATCTATTTGAGTTCTCACCATCTTACATCAACTAATTAATAATACAATATAATATTCTTATTTTCTAGTAATTTCCAAATATCTTAAATTCAGTGACCAAAATTTCTCTTATTTCAACATTTAATATTTCCTCTCTTTTTCTCTTAATATCTACTATCTCATATTTAAGCTAATAATTTTTGTTATTATCGCTAAGTAAAACATATTTATTACATTCATCAATAGATTTTTGGCTTATATATATCTTAATTACCTTTACATTTAACCTTTATAAGCAAATCAGTGTTCAAATTTAACTGTTAATATTTATACTTCTAAGTTTTAAACTACCAAAGTTTTCTTCTTCTTTTTTTCCAAACAATTTCATTGGTTTTTCTATTTTTGCACCAAGAAGCTTAAGAACCATTGTGGAGATAGGGTAATTAGTTGAATACAATAACATCATAAATATACGGCTCAAATAATACTTCTTAAAATTTTCCTCTCTATCAATTAACATAATATAGTCAAATTAATACATTTCATTCGTTAATACATTCCTAAATAAAAATTCCATTAATCAATAAAAGTTATCAGCAACCCCTTACCTATGTAAATCAAATTCTTGTTTTCAGCTTTTATAAATTTCCAAATACCATATCCAACCTAGCCTTAAACAGACATATTATTAACCATTTGGATGTCCCAAACTTCTCTTATTTAAACATATTATTTCCATCATTATGTACATTTTTACATTTCTTAACTATATTCTCTTTCTTATTCAGTAATTCTTCATTTGTTAATTTCATCTCTTCTATTATTGCAATCTTTTTCTCATTATAGCTCCACAAATTAATTATCATACCTAATAATAAAAAAAACATAAGAAAATAGAAAAAATAGTAAAAAAAAAAAGACAGAAACAGACCAAGCGGAAGAAAGAGAAAAGAAGGAAGATCCATTATTCCAAAGAGTGTATTCTTACTATATTTCAATACTAAATTCAAAATCTTATCCTAATAACACCTCTTAAAAATCCAAATCCAAAACAATCCGCATCTCTAGAAAGCCTTTGCAACCCATAACTGTAATCTTAAATTCCATATTTATATCTTATTCTAGCTTTCTTTCTATTCCAATCAGGTTTCCATAATAAAGACTCTAGATCCGCAAATATCTAGCCGGAATACGTAAACCAAAGGAAAGTCTCCCATTGTCCATTTTAATAGGCTAGTAACAAAGTTGTAGCGATTCTTGATAGTTCGTAATTGGACCTCAATCCCCATCCTTTTTGAAGCTGCGTATAGTTTAATAGCAGTCACTTTGGAATAATCCAAAATCTGAATGGATTGTATATAAGATAATGTATAATCCTCTTTAATGTTATTTTGTTCTTCTTCTGTTGATTTTTTATCTGTCAAGAAATCAATTGGACTCTGCACATCAGCTTGCCCTTCTGGGGTAACATCCTTAGTTTCTGTGCTAAAAATCACTTGTTCATTAGCATCAAAGGTTTTTTCCAATGTAGGTTGATAATCCAGATGTGAATTTAATTCTTCCATCTCAGTGAGTTGTAAGCAAAATTCAGAACAGGTCTCTTGGGTATACATCCCCTCTACTGTTTCTTGGCCTGCAAAGTGCTCACTTACACCTTGTCGTTGAAAAATAATCTCTTTTGTACAGGCAACTATTAGCTCAGTATTTTCAAGAATTTTATCCAATATATACTTGTAATCCAAGTCTAGGTAGGTAGGGTTCCTCCATTTCAGTAATGTTTAGAGCCATTATTCTTTTGCCAGCTGTACAGCTTCTTTATATTTTCCTTTTTGTGATAATTTGAAGGTCAAAGTGAAACTCAAGAGTCCAAGAAAAGGAAATAATGATTGCAGTTGGTAGTTTCACCACAGGATGTCCCCAGAGGGTTATCCAAAGTTATTCAGTCTTTCCAAACCCCCAGTAAAAATAATTTCTTTCCTTTTTCCCCCTTTTCCTTCTTTTCTTTAATTAAAAAAATAGTGAAAAGTAAAAGAAAGCAATATTCTCCAAATAACTAGCATATTAAATCTCTAATTCAGGAAATTTTGGGACCCCCAGATGTCCAAAAATAAAATCAACATTAAAAAGTAGAAATTAATTTTTCTTTTGTTCCAAAGCTTTTCTTCCCCCATCAACAACACTGCTTTAACAAAATAGGGAAATAGTTCCAAAAAAGCTTTTCACAGGAGTAAATAGGGAAAGTAGAGGCAAGGAAAGGTCTCACCGAATCTTCCATGGTGGTTCTATTTCGCTTAGATGTTCTTGTGGCTTACGGCTGGTGCAGGTAAGTAATCGACCATTTTACTGACTGATCTTTACTCTGTCGGCCCAAAGCATTTGGGGGGACACCACTGATCTCTCTAGTAAAGTAATATAAAGTTTTTTGCTGCAGCTCCCAAAATGCTAATCTCTGCATAGTACTGCCTAATTCCAAGATCAATTGAAAATCCCCAGATAATTTATCTGTAGCAAAGATTTCCCTTCCATTTGTGCAACAAAATATATCATCCGTTCCCTGAAATGCCTCCTTACCATTGAGTAATTGTGTTTCCTCTTCTCTCCTGGTCTGCTCCTGAGAGCTTCTTTGCCTCATGCCTCCAGTGCTCATTTCCTTTGGGTCCATGGTGGTTCTGAAT